ATATTTAGAGGGTTTGAAGTTAGAATGACGAAGTTATAATCGTTTGAAATTAAAGTGTCTTTTAAGACATATTGTTGCTCTTTTGAGGATATGAGAAGTTGTATGGTGGAAATTAAAGATTTAAAGGTGTGCCAACAAGGGTGATTTCAAGACCTATGTCTTTTCTAAAAGAATTGCTACATTTAGAGTTTTTATGAAGGAATTATAAAGCATTAAAGATAACACATGTAATTCAAAGGCAATAAGTAAGTCGTTTTGTTGATAGTAATAATTGGAGCCATATCTTGAGTTTTGGACGAATTTTTGGCTCAAAATTTTGAAAAGTGTGAGTTATTAGATTAAAAAGCTATATATCAAAATTTTATGGTATTTGAGTACTTAGTTTGTAAAATATGAAGAAAAGTGTATGTAAATATATGTAAGCTAGGATTTGAAGCTATTGTTAGAATTTTGGAAATAATTCAAGATTTTTAACAAATTTGCAATTAAAATTTATTTTACTAGTTTTTTAAAGTACTTCAATATTTTATGTAAAATTTTAGTTTGTTTGGACAATCCGATTGTGAGATATGAGCTGTTGAAGTTTGAAGAAAATTCACCTCAAGGATATACAAGGATTTAAAATATTTTTATCACATTTTGGATGTTCTTTAGTATTTAAGGCTTATATTTTGATGTAATTATCTCTATCAAAAAAAAATTATATATAAATTTTTTAATTTCTTATCTTGAATTTTTAAATTTAATTATATTTTTAGAAGTATAAAATTTTTAAAGAATGATAATAAATAAGAGATATAAAATATTGGCTAAATATAATCAAAGTTTTAAATTTTTTTACTTACATCATGTTTTTTTGTTTTAGTTTCATGAATATATATCCAACGTATTTATTTTATAAATTTTATAAGTATCAAATGAACGAGATAAAATATAAAATTTGACATTTTGAATTTTCAGTTTGAGTTTATTTTATATAAACATATTTACATCTATATAGATATAAGTTATGGTTAGGATTTTTTATCAAAATGATATAGTTTTGACAGAATCATGTGTAATTATGTTATACAAATTTTTCGATTAAGATCAGATTTTTAATTGTTTCTCAAGAAAGTCAATCCAAGTAAAAAATTAAAACTTATTATTCCTTGTAAAGGAAATACTGATAAGAATTATTTAAAACTTTACAAATACAGACTTTTAAACTATTTTCTTACTATTAAACATATTAATAATCTATGTGCAAAGGTTTTAGTAAAATATTTTAGATAAGAGTTTTAAAACATAATTACTTATATTACGAAATTTTTATATTTATAATATTTATTATAAAATTTATAAAAAAATTGAAATATATAATATTCTAATTTAAGAAATAACTAAAAATCTAAGAACTCAAATAGCAATAGCCTTACTAAATTATTACAAAGAAATAAGCTCATTTCATATTCATATTTATGTATTTCTTATTTCTTAAATTTTAAAAATTATTTCTAAAAAATTCTAAAACCTATTAGAATTTAATTTAAATCTTGGCTTTTATGCTTTGGTTTAACTTAGTTTTAAAAAAACATTATTTATTTTTAAATAAATATTAGTCTAAAAAACTTTATTTTTTCTAGATTACCAATTTTTCTTATTATAATGTAAATTGTTTTGATTGTAAGTGGCAAGTGGAGAAATTAACATGTTTTGTCTAGATATATATATATATATATATATATATATATGAGGAAATGCATATGTATTTTTATTGATCTCATATTCTTAGACATTATGTCTTACCAAGTTAGTTTTTCTACAAAAAATTGGCTATTCTTTTTCATTTAAATTCTAAAACTTTCATCTTGCTTAGATTCAACACTTGCTAATGGCTATAATTGAGATAGGATCCATCTTGGAAGCAAATGTTTAACTTTTCTATATATTGTATAATCAATCTTTTAAAATTAAAAATATTTTTATTTTTATTTTTATTTTAACATATAGATATATATATATATATATATATATATATATAAGAAAAAAATTAAATCTCAAAGTAACAAAGAATAAGAATGAAACAAAAAAAGATAATGATTTACTTTATATAGATAAAAAAATAAAAAAAAATAAAAAAAAATGCATATTTAAAACCTTATGTTAAATTAACAAGAGACAAGGAGTCTCTTCTTTCTTTTGCAAAGAAAATAAAGACATAACCACCAAAAAAGAAAGACACAATTTTATAGTAGAAGCAATATCAAGATTGTCAACAAAAACCTATAAATTTTTAAGTTTTAAAAGTAATAATAATAATAATAATAAATAAATAAATAAATAAAACTCTAGATGGACACCTCTCTTTTTCTGCTTGGACATCCCCTGTAGTGATTTATATTGATTTAACAAACAAACAATATAAATAATCACCATTTGAAACTCTGTTTAAAAACTCTTGTACTGTATTTGTTATTTAAACTTTAACATAAAAAAATAAAATATAAAATATATATATATATTTATATTTATTTATTTATTTATTTATTTATTTATTTTATAAAACTTGTGTTGTATTATATGTTTATGGATGTCAAAAAAATTCATTTTTTATATTAAAATTCAAATCACAAACATAGTATAAGAATCTTTAGATACATTTTCAAATGAACATAGTTTATTTTATTTGTTCATTAAATTGAAGTGTTGCATGGATGGCAGGGGGATATCTATGCAATAAATGGAGGGTGTCCACCTAGCAATTCTATTTTAAAAACACATAACATGTTTTTATCTATACTTTTTTATATCAATTTTTCTAACACTACTTGTATAGAAAGAAATAATAATAATATTAATAATAATAAACCTAATATCATTATAGTTTTGAATTAAAGTTATCATACATTAATAATATAAATAAATTAATGAAATTTAAATTATTAAATTAAAATTTTGATTTTAAAACTTTCTAAAATAGCTTGGCACTAGATTACAATACGTCACACCAGTTACAACATTTTGATTTGAAGTAGAATTGGAAAAACAGAGGCTTTCAAGAATAGAATTGCCTTTAAACTTAATAAATATAACATCTTTTAAATACAAGCCCCTGAATTCTTTTTACAAGATGGTTTTATAAAGAAGAATTTGATTTTTATAGAAAACGAATTTTTTAACATCCATTCAAGTATTACATATAGATGAATTTCTTCCTTATATTTTATTTAGTCTTTCATTTCTCTGATTATTAAATATATATATATATATATATATATATATATATGTAGTAAAAAAAAAATGATAGTTGAAAGCTTTTTAATTACTTTATGTGAAAATCCAGTTTTCCATTCTTACAGATATTTAAGGTAGTTATGTATTTTTTATTCAAATACTAGACAGAAAATTGAAATTATGAATTTAATTTTAAAGGAACCATACAATTAAAAAAATCTTTAAAAAAGATTATTTTTATTTTACGTAAAATATCATTAATTTTCTAAGAAGATCATAGATGAAAGTTAAGAAATGAAGTGTATGAGCCTGGCATTGGAAATTATGGTTGTTAATGAACTCAGGCGCAATGGTTCCAAGTGTTGTTATTCTCATCTCAGCTGTTGCCGTTTCCTCTCAGAGCTCCTGAAGCACTAAGCCTTTGTGGGTTCTTCAACTTCTTCTGTACCTCTATATGTATATATACATATACATATACACATTTCATTTTATTTTATTTTTTGCTGCTTCGTAAAAATAATAATAGATTAGACAGTATGGAACGGAAAGCACAGACTACGCTCAAACATGCGGCGCTGCTGCCGTAACCAGGCCACATGGTGGGGATTGCACCCAGAAGGGCCTTCACCACGTAGCGTGGTCGCAACAGCCACGGCGCTGCCAGCGCCATCACAGCCTTCGCAGCGCCACCACTAGTACATGACCACAACGCAGCAGCAGCGGCAATGCGTACGCTGGGCTTCTAAAGGTGCTTGTGGTTTTTTTCCTTTAGTTAATGTCTATAGCGATGATGCTGCTTCTGGAGCCTCTCGTGTGCGGTTGCTTGAGTCAGGCCGAGCTCACAGGCGCATTTAGTTGCGGTCCCACCGCCTCGGGTGCACGCAGTGTCAAGCCACGTCCTGCGCAAGTTTCATTCGCCTCCAATCGCAAAGCGCCTTTTGCTGGCTTCGACCAGCTGCAACGTTTCGCTGGCTCACCTCTGAAGCACGAGCGTGGTGCGTAACTTGTTTGTCGTCGATCGAATCATCACATGCGCATCCCGGGCACAGTGGCAGTGGTGGGTGTCTAGAACGATTCATGAAGGAACCTGTTGATCGCGATGGGTTAGAGTGGCTCAAAACGTCCCTGTCTTTGCAAACACCACTCTGAGATGTGAGCCCAGATTTCTGAACCGACAGTCATGTAACCATCATGAGCTCATTGTTGATGACCTAAGGCCCACTTGTTTGTCAAGCCTCGTCAGAAGAGAAATCTTAGTTTCCAGGTTGAATTCATCCGGTTTCTAGAAACTAATATGCGGATACATCGCTGGTTTCGATGACTTGTCGATGATTTAATGTTAAGTCAACCGTTAATGTTTATTTTTTCGAACCACGTCGTCAACCAAGGGTGGCTTTCTCCCTCTTCCCTCGATGTACCCTTCCGCATTATAAAGATATTACATAATTGCAGTTCACAGGATTTCAAGCAACACACCTGAAAAGACAAGCTGCAAAGAACCGTCCCTACCGTGCCACAATTTTCTATTAGAATATTCATGTCCAACTCACAAACTCTCCAGCGCGTTACTCCAACCTCTCTAGATTCCTGTCAACCAGTTAAATTGTTTGTTATGACATCGTTCAGAAATCCCCTTGAACAGGAACTGGTAGTCAACCAAAGAGTTTCCGACGAGCAATTCATGAACTGCCAGCGAGGTTCCGTAATCTACTCAGCAACGAAACATCGACAATGTGAAGGCAACTGTGGGTGGTATTTACAAATGTTAACTGGAGAGTCTGGCTGTTCAGGACGCCACCGGAACATGTGAGGGCGGAGAGTGGTCCAAATTCTACACACCACTGTAGCGATCGATACATGAGCGGCTGGGCCCCTCGCTAACATATCCCATGAACATAAAAGGACGATTACTGCCACTAAACTCTTCACTCTCGTATCTCGACCTGCAGTGTTCACAGTAAATGTTTCAATAGAATTCAAGTCGAGGCAGTACAATTATGTTCCGATCTCTATCCAATTATCCACTCACATTTGACCCGGCAGCTGGACTGATCTTCTCAACTTCAGAAACTAAATTTCGGTGGTGCTTCGTTCCCAGTAATTTAATATCGTTACCATCTAGCGGACGTTCGGGTTCGGAGTTCTAATATTGTTGGTTTATAGTCTAGTGAGTAGCATTCCCAAACAGCTTGTTGCAGTTTTCACTATACGCAGCCTGATGTAGAGGATTCCAAAGTTTGCAAAGAAACTCGCTCGCAACTCCGGTGTTGAATCAGAATTATTAGGACATGCTTGAAGTAGGATTAGCTCCCAAATTCCACAGATTCAACTAGAACTACGTGAGGGACATGGATATGATCAAATTAGCCGGTGTGCCAAGACTAGTGGCGATTCTCGTTGTGATGTTCAGCTCCTACCTGCAGCTGTCGAAAGCGCAGGGCACATGGCAAATTCTAGTAGGAAACGCTGGAATTGCATCCATGCACACGGCAATCACTCACTATGACACCGCCATCCTGCTTGATCGGACCAACATCGGCGCCTCTCAAATTCCCCTGCCCAACGGCCAATGCCGCGACAATAGCCAAGAACTGGTGCTCAAGCACGACTGCACAGCCCACTCAGTCATGCTCGACACCAAAACCAACAGCGTGCGCGCGCTGTGGGTGCAGACTGATACGTGGTGCTCCTCGGGGCAATTCATCAGCGACGGCACCATGGTGCAAACCGGCGGCGACTACGAGGGCCTGTATAAGATTCGAAGGCTGACACCCTGCGCCGCGAATGAGAACTGCAACTGGGTTGAGTCAACCACAGAGGCGCTGACAGACCCCCGCTGGTACGCATCTAATCAGCTGCTCCCCGACGGATCTCGCCAGATAGTCGTCGGCGGGCGCAACGCATTCTCCTACGAGTTCGTGCCTAAGAGGCGCACTGGCGAGGGCGCCTTCGCGCTCCAGCTACTCCGGGACACCAACACCAACCAAGGCGACAACATGTACCCTTACGTGCACCTCATCCCTAACGGCAACCTCTTCATTATGGCCAACCGCGACTCCATCGAGCTGGACTACACCACAAACACGGTGGTGAAGAAGTTTCCTACCATCCCCGGGGAGCCCCGCAACTACCCTTCCGCTGGGTCCTCTGTACTGCTCCCCCTTGACCAAGCCAACCAGTTCACGCTTACGGAAATTCTCGTATGCGGAGGCGCTAGAGCTAACGCTTTCACAAACTCTGGTGCTCAATACCCTGCTTCTCAATCGTGCGGACGCATAGACGTGAATGCTGCCAGCCCTACTTGGAGCATGGAGACGATGCCGATGCCACGCACCATGGGAGATATGGTCATCCTACCCACTGGGGATGTGTTGATCATTAACGGAGCGGAGAAAGGCTCTCAAGGATGGGGCAAAGCTAGCGCTGCTATACTCACACCGGTCTTGTATGCCACCAAGAATGCCAGAGCCAGATTCACAACATTGGCGGCAGGGACAATCCCCAGAGTATACCACTCTACAGCAAATCTGCTCTCAGATGGCAAGGTTTTGGTGGCGGGGAGCAACACGCACCAGTACTATACTCTCACGGGTCAATTCCCCACCGAACTGCGCGTGGAGTCCTATTCGCCGGCGTACCTTGCAGCCAGGTAACGGATCAATTCCGAAAATCTCCTCACCTGTTCTCAAGTTCCTAATTGTATTTTTTACAGATAGCTCATCTTTGGTCGTTCATTTTTGCAGGAGCAACAATATTCGGCCGACTATTACAACCGCACCAGGGACGATCCGATATGGACAGACGTTTCCTATGACTTTCACGGTTGGTGCGCTGCAGGGCGCACTTGAGGTGAAGATGGTGAACGCGCCGTTCGTGACGCACTCGTACGCCATGGGGCAGCGAATGCTCAACCTCAAGCTAACGGCCCCCGTTTCGGCCCCCACCGTCGGCGCCTATTCAGTGGTCGTCACGGCGCCACCAAGTAACGTAGTCGCTCCTTCCAGCTACTACATGCTCTTTCTCGTGCAGGATGGCATCCCCGGCAAGGCTATTTGGTCCCTAATCAGATAACACCACCTGGAGTTGTGCCTGAAATCCAAATCCAACCACCTCGTTTCGGATCTGGCTGAGGGAAACCATGCCCAGCACCCGAATTCTCGTCACGATATAGACAAATCGCATATTAACTAACAGATCAGATTGCATTCAGGCGCAGGCAAAGCGTTGTCGCACCACAGTCTAGCACTCCCGCAGCTGTTTCAGTAACGCGACCGTTGTGCAGTTGGGTCGGCAGCTCTGATCCATCGCCTCAGAGGGTTTTTAATTAGACTGCATCCACGTCGGCGACGTCCATCGATCGATCAATCGATTGGCTGACTCTTGCAAGATGTGAGCTCAGGTGCCGCTCATGTTTGTTTGACGCTTTGACGTGAGTAAGTTTGGCGCCGAGGCCAGTTTAACTTAATTAATTGAAGTCAACTATTAGTGAGCAGTGGCATCACTAATCGTTAGTATCTTTTTTAGTCACTGTAGGCTTCTTAATAATACTCGCACCTGTTGATTACGTACATTTTTATCTTTTCGTTTCTTTTCTTTTTTTTTACAGTTTTAAGTTTCATCGAGTAAAAGTTGGTTATTTGGATATTACAATTATTTGTTGTATTTTTTCATGTAATTTCGAACATATGTGTAAAATTTGCAGAATCCTATATATATATATATATGTATTGTAGCATATTTTAAAATGAATTTGGTGAGGGCAGAAAATCTTTTAGGTCTGAAATTATAACATGATATTCTGAAGTCAACAAAAACATGCCATTGAAAAGTGTTTCATAAGGTATATAGTGTTTTATTCTACAATGCAATCGTAAAAAAAATTTGCAGATAAAATGATACTATTGCAAAGTATCTTGTTTGCAACCATACAAAACCATTAAATTTCAACTTAACAATCAATTATGTAAATATGTATTTCAAGTGCAAGGTTTCCTACTTGTTTTAAGAACAAGTTACAAATTTATTCAGCATTTATATTTAGATGGTTTGTAATCTCTTGTTTGATACATAGTTTAATAGGCTCTGGCTTTAACACTTGGAAGAAAAAAAAAAAAAAAAAAAAAAAAAACTTTTTTGCAAATTTAAAAAATTTAAAACATGTGATTTATTTCTTTCATTTCAAATAAATAAATAATACAAAATCCAGGGACATACATCAATGAAATCAAATTTTATTTCATTTCAAAAAATATATTATGCTAAAATAAAATATTTCTTTTTGCAATTTTTAGTTTATTTGAAACTTAATTTTTGTAATTATTTAAAATAATGTAATTGGTAATTTTAATCCAAGTTCAAACTTGAAAAGATATATTTCATTAAGTTGAAGTCTTGGTTTCAGAATTGAGAAGACATCAGGACCAGAACCCTGGGAAATGTTTCTGCTTCAAGTCAGAAAGACAAACAATGAATCACGGAAAACAAATTCCAAAACCTATGGCAATGTGTCTTTAAGAAATATCTACCTTCAGGCCTGCTGAACCACAATACAAATTGAAACTTCAAGTTATTCCATGCTCTAAATGAAACCTACAAACAGGTGAAGAAAAGCAGTAAGAAACAGAATCCATCATACATGAGATGCGAAGCTTGTGAGGCAAATATCCACCCAACCACTTTCCGCTGTGGTAGAGCACTGAAACAAACTCTTTCACCTCGGCCAATTATCTTAAAAAAATAGGAGTCTCATGGTCCGATCAATCCAGATGGTGCAGGATCGTACAGGTTTTCGGAGGAAGCCAGGCAAAGGCCTTCAACAAGTGGATACTTTGCATCATTCAGCAGTAGACAGTAGAAGGGGAGGGATGACTGCACTACATGATACAGCCATTTACATCACCATTCCACCATCAATGTTGAGGTTCTGCAATGAACATGGCCAACCATAGAATTACTTTTCTGCAGCTTCAGATTCTAGATAAAAGAAAAACATGCCAAACCTGCTCTCATGGGCCCCCCCAAAAAATTGCAGTCATGAACATCACATGCCAACTGCATATTCTAGACCAACAGAGACAGAAGGGAACTTCATTCGCTTGATTTTTGCCCCCCACTTTGCATGAAAGGAAATTTCAAGCAAGAATAGAATGCCTTTACCACCCAGTTATTTTACTTCTATTCAGGAGTAGAAGAAGGACTTTAAGACATATCTGGTAAGTTGAGTTTGTGTCTGGTGGGCAGCAATTCAAACCTAGACGGTGATTAAAGCTTCTACTGGATCTGTTGGTAGAAGCTTCACCAACCCGGTGCATCCTCAGGCTGACAATATCTTTCTGTTTCACTAGTAGCAGAGAATTTACTGTCAGGTAGTCCCTGAATGGAAACCAAGTTAAGAATCTACAAGGAATAATTCTATCCTCAAGTTGATACCGCTGGTTGGTACTTTTAATGGATCGACGATATTTTTGGAAAACAACCCACAAATGATGAATGTTACTACTATTCGCTTTCTTGTTCTCAGACAGAGAAACTTAGAATACAAAATCACTCACCCAATGAAAAGTTCTTCAGGATTGCTTCCTCCTCAATCTCTTCGTTCATCTTTTCCGTCACATTTGACGTAACTAAGTGCAACAGCAAGACGAAAAGAAAGGGTGCACACAATTAGATAACTCCACCTCAAAATGAGTGTGGCAACTGCAAGTTGGGAGCTTTTTGAAAGATCGTCATGAGCTTACCGTGAAGTTGCTGCCAGCGTACTCTTGAGGAACTGGTTTGATGAAGCCAATTTCTCCTTCCGTACCTGCGCAATAGTTAGCTTGTCCAGTGTTTCCCGTTGCACCTACTACTGAGGAGATGTTGATGATTCTTCCTAGTATGAAATTGCACGCAGGTAAGTCTGCGGAAAAGTAATGTCAAAAAAGCCGAAGTTTCAAATGAACAGTAATCAATTTCGCAGAGAGTTTCGTTCAAGGTCTCTCGACAAAATGATCGCCTCCACAAATTATGCTTCAGGCTCTTCATTTACAAGGTTACAGATTAATATAGCAAGTTGGAATATACTTCTCTTCCATATCATCACCTTCCTTGCTTCTGATCAGTGTTTCAGAAACAAGCTTGAGAGTGCATACTCAAATGTACTGAAAAGGACACGAATTTCTTGCAGGTGTAAAGTTCTTTAGAATGCAGATACAAAGCATAATATTCATAATTCCAATAATCAGCTCCTGTGCTTTTACATCTTCGAGTACCCCGAGAATAACACCGCAGTTCTAGACTTCGAAGATTTCTTCTTTTATTAATGCAAATGCAGAAATATGCACCACAAATACTGCAAATCGATCAGTGAAGAGTGAAAGTTGCATATTCAATGCATGAATTAGTTCGGAGGTAAAACACCAGTGAGGTTGAAATCGGTGACATCCTGTCAGTGTTGCTTCATCATCCTCATCTGCGAGGTATACTTCGTAAAATCTAGAGTTGCACGATCAACAACTGGAATTAACAAAAAAAATATTAAATATTGGTAACTAACACCTTACTAAATATTTTACTACGTAAACACCACCGACATGATCAAACCCCTCCCAACAATTTCTGAAGCATTGGTTGAATAATAACCCTCCCACGTCCACAACCATTATACATCCAACACTCGGAAAATTCAAAAAATAAGCTTCCATGAATTTGCTGGTAATGCAATGCTACAATTCCTTGTTGCAAATGCGAGACCGCTTGAAAGGCTACCCAAGAAAGATACCATCACACATACATACAAACACACGTGTGTGTGTGCGTGGATATATATATATATATATATATATATATTAATCTGGCATTTCTAAGCTCGTTGTCTAACCAGATGGCTGTTGGGATGGGTTGTTGTATCTTGCAGGCATAGAGGTATCAGTAAAGGCCCCACCTACACAGCATATATGGTGCACATACATGATTCATCTTACAATGAATCAAAATAATGTGGTGAAACGATGCTTTGTGTGTGTGTACAATGTGGCAAGAGAATTCCAACACTTTTCCCAGTCTTTCGTGTGTAGTTTGTGTGATTGCTCAATTAAATTAGAAAATACAACACGGCAGACATTTCACAAGCTATGCTAGTACTTGTCATTTTATTACAGATATTCCTAAATCCATTATTAATTGGTATGTATGTACGTTTGTATTTATGTACTCTCACACAACAAATAGAAGATCCTTACAGAAATCAGTAATTCAAGCGTTCGTATGAGTTGGGTCATCCGTTCCTACTTCTATAGAAATTTCGTTATCTTTGGTTGAGTATATAAGCAGGAAGGAATATCCCGGATTGGTAGGATTGGCTCACACGAGCGTGACACACAAAACATCTACTTTTTCCAAATTATGAAGTACATTACACCAGACACAGAAACTGTGAATTATTGCAAGACCGTTTGAAAGCTTAAGGGCCAATCAGAGGGTTGGTGAAGTTTACGTGAGTCCAAAGGGAGGCAGAATTCACTTACATTAATGCGGTTGTGTGAGTGGTATCAGGGAGAACCCTCGGGAAAAATTCTAATTTTAAGATGAGGTTGTTCGCGGCATTAACGTCTCTTTGACCCATTTCTCTGCGTCACTGAATCATCCATCCATGCAAATTCTGTGGATAGAATTGTCGCTAGCACATAAATACATGGAGGCTCTGAGTCAACTGTGATTGCCTATCCTGGACTTTGAGCTGCTCGCTGCGACTATTTGTACCAAAATGCAGCTTCTGCAATAATGATGATGGTTAAACTTCAGTCGAATCTTCGAAGCTCAGGGTTTCTGTTGGATGTGACATAACAACACATGTTTTGAAAGAGGTAATGATCTGACTTGGTTGCTTTCTAAATCAGTCATGTCTGTTCGAACAATTCCTATTCTGGATTCAAATGTTTCTATTTTAGTTCCTTCCCAGATCGGTCATGAAAATCCATCGTAATTTTAACCTACACGGCGCAGCAGGCCTTTATACGACCGATGCACTCATTACAGACAACACATGTACCGAGGACAAAATTGGGCACATGCGTCTCAGTGATCGTACACGACAAAAGTACCATACGTCCTATTTTTGAATAATCAAAATTAAAACTCCACGCTTTACTGTTTTCTTCTGCGACGTGACATTGCTCTGTTTGCAACAAAACTGAAATCACATTTCTCTTTTGTACTTTAAAGAAGCGACACAGCTGATAGGCAATAATAGTATCGTTAACAAATACCCACACTACACAACATATCACGCGTCTTCATGCACCGAACAGTTCATCTCAAACAGTGGAATGTACAAGAGATGCCATACAAGATTTACTCAAACTAATAACTGTATCCATTCAGCACTTCACTTCCTTCAAAGCATCACGGAAGTACAGGAAAGTGGGATTGGACTGTCCTTCCTTGTAATAAGCAAAAACCATGGTGGAGTCATCCTTCATGCTCTCGCCAACGAAGCTGTTTAGAGGACAATACAGTGGCTCAGTATTCTGTCCAAAGCAACTTTTGTTCTCGTGTTTAAAGATTATAAAACAGAAGTATTTTGGAAAATCAATCTGCACACTGACTATCCCCAGATGACAGAAAAAGTAAGTGAAAGCTTACAACTGAAGATCGGAGAGCTTAGAAAGCAAAAACTTGACCGCCGATTCCACGTCTTTCTTAAAAGAGGCTTGACGTTCGGCAGGGACAAGTGGAGTCAAGATCTTCAAGTACTTCTTGATGAATGCCGTGAATCCCTTCTTGTCAAAAGCGGGCTGCTCCTGCAGCCTGAAGGTGTCAGTAATGTCAACCACTCTGACGGCCTCATCATTCACACCTTCGTCCTCCCCACCACCTTCAGCGGAGGCATTGGCTCCGATCAAGGCATCTACATCAAGAGCGCCCTTCACCACCCACTGCATACACAAGATTCAATAAAAACATGCTTATTAACGCCCGATCACAAATATCAAGTGCGCAAAAAGATATGCGATTACGCCATTTAAGATAACTCAAACTCATGATCTAGTCCTGCATAAAACACTACGCTTCTAAACAAACCAAAAAGCTACTATTTCAAAACAAGGAACCCAAAAGCAGCAGGATGGTACCTTGCCCTCGACCTCCCAAAGCACACCATTGAACAGCTCCTTGTAATCAAAGGAATCTGACAAGAGCTCGTCACCTGTAAACCCCCAATAAATGATAGATCAAACCCGCTCGATAAACAAGTTTCTGAAAACCTCAATCCACGAAATAAAAAACAAATCAGATTGTTAAAGCTCAATCCCTTAGTACTCGAAAGAACGGTAGTCAAAAATCGAACCCACCTTTCCGAACAGCATAAACAACCACCCAAAGGTTTTATACAAATAAAAATAACAATGCAACTTTAGTAAAAACACCTATACACCATATCAAAAATGCACCGCTTAAACCTCGCACACAAAACCCTAAAGATCCGCATCTGAAACCTGCCTTCAGAAAACACCCGGAAACACAACTAACTGCATGCACGTTCCTTTACAAAGGTAATAGCAACTGAAGGATCTCTCGACGAAACACAAAACCACCGAATTCGCCAAAACCCAAGGAGGACTAAAAAATCCCTCCAAACAGAAACAAACGGCGAACGATGCGATGCGAGGCCAAGAAGAAAGGGGAAAGCTGTCGCGGTACCTGAGACCAAATCCTGGTAAACCAACATGGTGAGAAGATCGTCTGGACGTCGACAGCGGGGTGGCGACGGAAGCGTGGGAAGGAGGAAGTGCGGCACAGCACACACTGGTGCATGCTAGGCAACGAGACGAATACCTGCCACGGTCTCGGCGGCGGCAGGCTTTATTTTTGATCCCGCTCCGCCGCAGCCTCTGCCGCTGACGTGCGTTGCCGCTCGGTTAGCGTTAAGAATACGGTATCGAATCGCGGGCCAGCGTAGGGGGTGACCTGTTTTTATGAACATGTCATCTTCTGTAAAACATTCTATTTTTGTTATATTTCATATTGTCACTGGACGGCTTGGTTTCCATTTGATATTCAACACAGAAACCACCATAGCTTACGCATTGCTTTTTTGTTTTTCCTTTGCTAAGAAGATTAAAAAAAACTGTAGATTTTTCATTTTTCTTAAATCGCGCATGCATGCATTTATTATAAATCTTTATTTCTTTATTTTTTGTTGGGAATTATTAGGTGGACAATCTCTTGTATACACATCCTGACATAAAATTACTAGATTTGAATTTAAATAAAATCTATTAATATATATATATATATATATATATGTGTGTGTGTGTGTGTGTATATATCACATTAGTCAATGATAATTTAAATATATATCTGTATTTATTTATTTATTTTATAAAATATGACAATAAGCATGCAAGGACAAACAAAAATTGAAGGTCAAGATATTTTGAGGTCATACGATGCAAAAAAAATTAGAATATATCAAAATTTGGCACTATAATAAGAAACATAACAAGAATCATGATTTTAAATTAAAACTTTATATTTGTTGCAAAGGTGTGTATAAAGGGGTGTCCACATAATAAAAGGAAGGTGTCCACCTAGCAGTTTTCTTATTATGTTGTGTTGTAAAGATCAATACACTCTTTTTTCTTTTTCTTTTTCTTTTTTTTTAAATCAATGTATTGTATAAAAAAAAATCTATATGCAATTCTATTACAAATTATTTGTGATCAATTATTTTTATCTATTTAAATATGAAGTGTACAAAAAGACATATATATATATATATATATATATATAATATAATATACAAAATTATTAAATCAGCCCAAGATTTCACTAAATTTACCCACCTATTTTTACCATTATCAAAAAAATCTCTAATGCTAGATTCATATGGGTTGAAAACTAATGAAAAAGAATTAGATCTACAACCAATGATGATGGGTGAATTGATTTGGAAAATGCATGGGTCAATTTAACAATCCCTTATATGTGTGTATACATATATATATATATATATATATACATATTTTTCCAATTTCATATAATTAGCTATTTCTTCTGATTGAAAAAAAAATTAAGAAAAAAACCTAAAGCACTAAATGATTTTCTTTTCATATTTATTTATAAGGTATTAATATCATTTTGAGTAAGTATAATCAACAATTTTGAAAAAATACTACATTTTTGTACAATAAGTATATATATAGGGAAATGTTATATTGACCCAAGTTTTTACTAAATCAACCCATCCATCCAAACATTATGAAAAAATAGCAGATGATATCTAGATTCATTTCTGCACCATTGGATTTGCAACCAATAAAAACCAACCACATTCATCATGATTACCATATTCTTAATCTTGTGTGGGGCTATCTAGTAAAAGCACCAGTCTATTTAACATTCTCCTCTATATATATATATATATATATATACGCATTAATTGAAGTTTAAATCAAATGGAAAAAAAAAAAAAAAAAAAAAAAAAAAAAAAACAGAATTCAATACACAGACAAAATATTTATCCAGTTTTCTGAACAAAATGAAAAGTCTTAGTGACATTAAGTTGTTTAGATTCTCTTCCGTCCGCGCACTCGCGTCTCACAATTCCCCCGCGGCGCCACTTTTACAGCATCAATCCCCCCTTCTCACTCGCATTCTCCTCAACGCTACGGGCCAATGCTCGGGACCGAGTCATCGCGTGGGAGTCGTCACGCATGGAATTGGCAGAGCGAGGGGCAAACTCAGAAGATTTCTCGCTCTAGGGTTTATTTTTTGTCGTGTGATGGATGTCCATTGTCGCTAGTGCAGGCTGCGGGCATCATCACCATCATCATCACTGGAATTTTCTATAACTGAGATGTTAGTGCGTTGATCGACCCAACATTTCGCATAACAAACTGCTGGATTCGTAAGGCGCTTCAGTTCGTGCCTATAGGCTTGAGATCACCGAGAGAACATCAGTGTAGTGATACTGAAAAGCACAACGAAATCGAGCCAAGGAAAAAGTCGAAACGAACAAACTGCTAAAAAAAGCCAAAACAGAAGCAATGTCGCTTTGGGACCGCATCAGATTAGAAACAGTAATTCCCAACGAGAATCACTGCATTTCCTATCCATTCCACTTTTTGTCCTCGCTGTCATTGTATGGGTTCATATCCAGCTGCAACCGTCAGTGGCACTACAGGAAACACACGAATACTAGACCAGTTTCCATTCCTGGAGGTCAAAAGTTAGATGCCCTCCAATTCCCAAGTTTCTAAAAACAAAGGTCAAAACGAAATAGAACCTGTGGCACCGAAGTGTGGGCTCAGTCATACTCTTGGCCAGGTTCGGGAGATGGACTGGCTGGAGCTCGCGACATCACATTCAGAGCAATGGACTCATCTCCCTGGATTTGTGTTTCAAAGCGCAGTTTCTGTTTCCAGATGGGCACTGGCAGTTGCTGTTCAGTCGCGTCGATGTATTGTCGACGATGGCTGCAGCAATGAGCGGAAAAGTTTGTTTTGCGTCGAAGTCACTACCCACAGCTGCAGTGGCATTTCATACTGAAGATCGCAACTTCATACTTGAGGCTTCTTCAAGTGAATGTTGACCTACTTAAGTAGATATAATTTGTATAATTTTCACTAATCTGGTTTCTTATACTCATTGTGACACATAATACTATGACATAAGATGGTTGTTATTCTTCATGTAATTAAATGTATGAGGCGGGTTTTGCCTGTCAAAAAAAACAAAAAAACAAAAAAACAAAACAAAACAAAACAAAAAAACAGAACAAAGCAAAGCAAAAAAATAAATAAATAAATAAATAGAAGAGGAGGACAAAACCTATTTGGTCTTGAATGACTTTAGACTAAGATGGCATATTGAAGTGATGGATTGAATAATAGTACCAAATAGTTGGCTGTTCAAATCATAGGTGCAAAATCTAATTCATACCTAATGAATCCTAAATCTAAGCTTTCTTCTTCTATGTGAAAATAAAAATAATTTAGATGAATGAAAAATGACTAATTGAAAGTGGTGGAATATAAGGTGAAAAATGTTTTGTTATCAATTTAACACTTTGTTTGGATTGTGGACAATATTAATTATTGCGCAGTAGATTTGAAAGTATGGATCAATTGATTGATTTATGTTAATTACATAAAATATTTACATAAATACTTGAGCTTTTTGATTGTGTGGAGTATGAATTGAATCAAGTATATTTTGATGAATTTGGGCAATCCTAATTTTTGTATTTTAAAAAATTATGATAATTAAGGTTCGTTATTTGTAGTGTATTTAAGAATAAGGATCAAGAGAAGAAGGATTGAAGAACAAAGATAGTAAGAAGAATCCGGAATTGCTTCTAGCACGTGATACTATTGTTAATCTTGTTAAAAAGAGCTAATCAAGGAAAGTAAAAACAAGTATCAAATAAAGTTAAAATAGTCCAATTGACAGGATTTCATGGAATGTGATGTTGCATACTTTAAGTAATACATGGATCTAATGTCAAATACTGTAATATTGTGATTGGGTCCAATGTAACAAGCACAAATTTATTCCAACTATGATTAAATATAACATACAATTTTGTACTTCATGTGAGCATTGATGAGAGTTTGGTTTAGAATTCAGAACAAATGAAGCAACTAATAGATGGTTAATACATGTACAGTTTATTGGTTTTACATGTTTACTATCTAAAACAAAAATATGGTCAATTTCTCCTTCTTTTTTGTTGCTATTTTGAATGTTTTGGTTTATTTTTAAATATATTCTATACATTTTTAAATATGTTTATATATTTTTATATTGTATTTTTTGTTCATATATAATATAAAAATTTAAAGTAAATAAGACTCATTTTCTCAAAGTTCTAATTTTTTTCATCTTATAATCTATTTTTAAAATTATATTTTTATACCTTTTGTATTTCATGTTCTGAAATAAATTTCATATATATCAAATGTAATAATTGTAAAAAAAATTGTGTATTATTTTTTTATAGTTTATTTTAAATATTTTAAAAATACGTGGTTTTACTTTTAAATTTTTTTTAAATTACTTTAGTTTATTTTTCTATTTATAGTTGAAATTTTAATACTTAAAAATTTAATAATTATTTTTGAAATTTTATTCTACAGTCTAAGTGTTGCATAGATATACAAAAAACTACACATAAGTCTTAAAAACTAGTCTTAAAAATACTAAGTAAAAAGTTACTTCTTTCTTAACACATAAATATCATTTCATTTTTTTAATATTTATTTGCAACTATTTAAATCTTTACATATAAATGATTAATTTATATAACCTCAATTTTAGATTAATTACATAGTAAATGGATACATCCAATAGAGCCAAAATAATTCAACTCACAATAAAATAATAAAATAATAAAATAAAATAACAACAACAAATTAGACCTTGACAAGATCACACCTCCCATTAGATGGGACATCTTCTTTTAAGTTCATTGTTGGCTTATGCTTACCTAAACCAACAATAGTTCTAATTGACTTTTTGCCAGCTTTTAAAATCACCTAAGTAATTTGGTTATTCGTGTTAAATTGGATTTTGTATAGCATCAATTAAATTATAAATTTATTTTTAGATATTTAAATAATGAATAATAATCAATGATAATTTTCATTTCATATGGAGTACAAATATTTTTGCAACATAAATCATATATTTTAAAAAAAATACGTATAATAAAATATTATAAGTTAGTTGGATTAATATAACAAATATATTATATTTTTATATAATTAAAATAATGGTTTAAATTTTATAAAAATTAAGTTAAACTACAAATTTCATTATATATTTTTTTAGGTTTTAAAATCAATTTTAAAAATTTAAGTTTAGGTTAGATAATTTTTTTAGTTTAGTTTAGTTTAGATTAGATAATTTAAGTTTAGTTTATGTTTATCTAATAATTATCTAATCTAAACTAAACATAAAATGAACGAATAATTTAAAAACCAAACTAAACTAACCTACAACAAGCCAATCAAGACACATATTTGTGCTGTAAGCATCAAGGATTTAACAATATATTGCTTGTATGTTTACATATTATTCAATTTACAACTATAAATAAACTATAGCTAACATCTATGCACACAACATGTCAATAATTTCTTTTGTCAATTTTTTATTTTTATTTTTTTAAAATCAACTAATAAAATGATGTTATAGAAATTTTATGAATTAAGCATCAAATAGATCTTAAACTGTAAGAAATGAGAAAAAATAACAAATGCTAGATTATAACTTATCTAAAAATTTAAGAAAAGATAGCAACCATCTCAAAACTTTTAAAAGATGTAAAACTAATTTTAATGAGAATGATTAAGTACTACAAATCCACTTTACAATTTCAAATGTATAAGCACTACATAAATATGAAGGGACTTTGCAACAAGTTCAGCATAGAAAAAAGCTTTAATGAACTTAATGTCCTCTCTCACCTCAACCAAAAAATCCTTATATATTCATTTATTAAAAGAGTAGCAAGATGCAACAAATTGCAATTGTCTTTATTATTCCAAAAATATATTCAAGCAATCAAAAGTATTATACTAATTTTTAATTAGAAGATTTGTAGTGTTGTATTCAAGCTCTAATTCTACACACTTTGCGTGTAGATTTGATCATCAAACTAGATAGACAGGTTCCACACAAAGAGCCTTTTACACAAAGAGCCTTTTACCACAACTATTTGTAAAAAATTAAAAAATAAATAAAAAATCTAAATTCCAATCCTATCAAAAGACAACCTTTTTACAAACAATATCCATAAAATGAATGAAATTAACAAATCAAATTCAAATTGAGAGTTGGATAGACATCAAAGGGAATATTAAACATGTTAGCATTTTAATTGAATCGAAGTGAAAAAAATGCACAAGTGATATTCAGATAATGTAAATCAATTTGTTATCTTCCCAACTTTGACATTCGGCATCAAGGCATGACTTCCACCCATTGTTGGAAACCAAAAATGGAGTGGACCCTCTTTCTACTGTTCAAATACTGAACAGTCTTTGACACATGAGCAAACATTGCAGCAGGTTAAGCAACAAACGTAGCTGCCGAGACTCAACCAGGTTTCGCAACTCACAACTTCATTGTTCTCTGTTTCAATTTCTGAGACAAATCCAAAGAACTGCTGACCGAACAATAGGAATTCGTTATGGATCACAAACTAGTCTAATTTGCAAACGCAACTGGCCTTCTAAACCGCATCAAGTTCGGCGCCATTGCCATCAAAATTGTACAGTTACTCAATGCTCATCGTGTGAAATTATTTCCGACTTGATGAAGAACCAGCCAACGCTGCGTACAAAGTTGCTGGTCGTAAATTACAATCACTAATATTACAAGAAAAATGGGTCATTTCACTCGTTTGGGATCGAATGAGTTTGAACACGTGGCTTGGATCAGTATTCAATCGATTCTCAACCTGCTTTCTTTCATGTTTGTAGTCTCTTCTAAACTCATGTAGGAGTCGGATAAAACCACAAATCCAATCCTGGTCTGTATCTAATCCAGGTCTGCTTGCTTTAGTGTTCTAAACGTCCCCACGACGACCGTGAACCACAACTGAACCCTGAAATGAACACAGAACAAGAGATTAACAGTGATGATGTTCTGCAGAATGGTGCACCTTCGTAACCTCCGGATGGATACAATTGAGACATACTCTCTGCAGATTTGGTGAAGATTGCCCAGTTAGTCACATGATCGTGGAACTCATGCTCTCGGAATTACAATTAACGTCATGGGGGAGCTTCAATATCCACTTTGTGCATCAGCTAGCTTCCATGCGAATGTGCAATTATCGAGGTTCATTCGTATTACTAGCTCTTTCAGGAGAGGGTACTGAAAGATAATCAATCGTACATAGCTGAATTATTGTTGCTCTTAAAAACCATTCAAATCCAGATGAGGAGGAAAGCGTTTCAGGACATAGAACTGTGTCTGACATGGTGAGGTTTGGTTCGACTCGCTGTGGTCCTCGGCATTGAATCGGTGCGGCCACAAGAGTATCGGCCCACATCAGGAGTGAACCTCGGCAGTGTATCAGGCGTAATGGGTGATTTGGCTGGACGTCCAACACTCACAAGCTTGTCTGCAATCGGTGCGGTGTTTTCCTTCGCAGCGTGTCCACCGCTGGTTTTTCCGGAGGTTCGCAACTTCAGCTTCTGGAACGTCTTGCCAAACAAGCCAGTGGTTCGATTCATCGGCGTCAGATGGCTCATGCACCCGCCGGCAGTCGTACTACAGTTAGCCATCGCCACGCCGCCTTCGTGTACAGCCGCCCTCTTCGGCATGTTCAGTTGGCCAGATCGGCAAATGTGCGCTTTTTCACTCACCGACTTGTTTGGCGAAACTTTTGACTGGTGGGAGCTTGAAGTCTGCCGCAGAGGATCGTTTTGATTCTCCTCAGCGGCGTTAGCTTGTGATTTAAGTGTTTTGCGCATTCGGGTAAGCTCCGCCTCCAAGGTTCGCAACCTACTCTCTGTCACCTGATAGTCCACCTTCGGCGCCCCACTGCTACTAAGCTCCCCAACCGTGGCATTTTGGGATGATGACGAGGAAATCGCTTCGTCGATGTACAAATCTTTGTCACGAACCGAGGAGCCCAATGATCGGAACGAATCTTGAGAATAATCGTACGGGTGGCGGCGGCCTGAACTCCCAGCAGAAAGGCACATGGGGACTGGATCGGGTGGAGAGGGCCGGTGGCTGTGTCCGTGCGTCGAGAAGCCGCAGGGATGATCTCGGAAGGAGTGAGCTGCCGCTTCGAGGTGAGAATTGAGGACCGATCTCGTCTGGAGTTGCTGCACGATCATGGCTTGCACTATCATTCGCAGTGGCATCAGATCGTTTTGAACCGCGTGAGAACACGCCTTCTGAGAGAGTTTCTCGCAGTTTAGGGTTCGGCAGATAGCCAGCCGCTCCTCCTGCGTGGTGCAGGGGTGTGCCTGTGCGGGACCAAAATAGAGCGATTGCATAAAAAGGGATATACGTCACGTCAGCGACCGATTTCTGAAAGACAAGAAGGAAATTGAAGAGTACCTTGATATATGAGTGAATGGCTTTATACACATGGTCGTGCTCCGGACGCATGTAGGGAGGAATCCTCTCAACGAGCTCTCCGAATCTACCTGGCGTTAGGCTCGTATGAAACGCAACCTCGGCCAGATACCCATCCCAGAGTTTGGCGGTCGCCGAGAGCATGGCCATGTGAGTCGATTTGACCTCTTCGAGTCCTCGAAACCGTGTGAGAAATAGCTTCAGAATTCGCTCCATGGATCCAAGCTCGCTCATGAAGATATAGCCGCTTTCTTTCTCCTTCTTCACAGGGATTAGCACGTCTTGCAGTGTCGCGTTCTCGAATTGTAATGCGATGCGAGTCTCCAATTGTATTCTGCATACAACACATTTCACATTAAAATCCATCACCCTGCCACGGAACCAAGTTATGACGGATATCAATTTTCAGTTGCTGCCCCATGTGCGTTACCTGCAGCTATCGTTTAAGGCACAAGAGAGGCCGCGTCGTAGAAGTGTGAAGAGGAAACCCATTGGAACAACATTTCTTTCCAATGGCAACAATCCGACTACAGACTCGATCAACACGGACGGCTCCAAATTCGTTGTCGGAGGCTCCTTGAACCAGCTCTTTTTGGCACTACCTTTGTGCGCCGAAACAGTCGAGTCAACCGCACCCTGCAACCCAACTATCCACCGATCGGCAAAAGCAGTGATCACCTGCCCTACGTAATTCTCTTGCATCCCCTCCCTGCGAAGAGCTAGAATTAGATTGACAAACAAGCTCGGCGGGACCGCCACAAGGTCCTGGATCCACCAGTGGACGTACGAGGTCTGATAATCTCCCTTTCTTCCTGGAATGGGGAGCTTTCTGGCAACGGGGTCGAGAAGCTCCATGCAAGCCATGAAGGCTAAGGCGTCAAGACACCGCCGCGCAATGCCAAGCTGCTCGGCATGTGGCGCTAGGCCCACGCAATGCTGTAGAACGACTAGGGTATCTTCCCAGCTCTGCAATGCTACCTGCGTAAGGTAAAGCTCGCTGCGTTGGCACAAGTTGGCTCTGCCATAATCTTCAGTCATCTGCAAGTAGTTCGCGATGCAACAGAGCTCAGCGATATTGGATGGCTCCATAAGGATCGTTGATCCATAGCAGAAATTGCACAACAATTCAAAAACTGCCGGACCTCCCGGAACGTCGCTGGGCAGCGTGATCTCCTTCGCCTCCTTCAGCGCCCTCTTGAGATATCCGCTTCTTGATACCAAAGGAAATTTGTGAAGGTGGAACACGCGATCCTGGAAGTGGATAGTGATTGTGGTGGGCAATCCCGTTGCGTCACACCATACTTTGACATTGCGTTGCAAGGCAAGCGAATTGTCGGGAGACAGGGCATCTTGGACATTTTCAGTTATCTCATGCTTTACATGGCGGGAGGAAGATTTCAATGAATACAGCGCTACATCGTCTTCGGCGTTCGGCTGATCGTCCATGGAATCCTCCTCGAACGCTTCTATATGGCTCTCTTCCTTGTTCAACAAATGCCCTCTCACATTCTTCAACCCCATCACCTTGGGCGGTCTCTCCATAGCATTCGGAACTGTCACTTACAACGCCGAAAAAAAAAAAAAAATCAATCCTCAAATTCGCTACCAAGCCTTCAAAGACAGGACGATAGCCGTTGTGTCATAAACTGCAGTTATCAAAAGACTTCCGTGCAATCGACAGCTCACTTGCAATTTTTCTTGAACGTCGAGTGTCATTGCGCACCAAGCCTCATCGTGGACGTCCGGAGTATAACAGAATTCCCTCAAAACTCGATCACCCGTTGGTAAATCCGCAATTGATATGCATCGCACGGTCACTATCAGAGCGCCTAATCTCTCACCGATGGAGAACTACGTCCAATGCGTGTGCTACGAAGCAGATGCAATCTACAGGGACCAAGCAACCCTAAGGTCATATGCAACCAGCTCAATCACAAATTACCACGCCGAACTCGCTGCAAGCTCACCCAAGCCTTGGGGTGAGCTCCAAAATTTCCAAACCAGTCTGGCACAAGGATAGATACCGACTGCAAAAACTATTTCGCATTAAAAAACTCTTGTAATCTCGGTAGCGCAATTTCGTTGCGTCGCAGCTTCTACCGGACAGACAGTCCAGCCCGACCTCGGTACTCGCGTGACGTTTCGGGTCCCTTCCTGCAGCAATATGCCTTTCAGCGAATTCACTTCCCAGCGTTGTCAATGACAAGCTTGACGCCCGCATTATTTACAGCTGCGTCATTAACCTTTATGCCAGAGTGTCCTTTTCTGCCTTCGGGGGGATGGTGTAGCCGTGGTTGTGTCCGAAGGCAGCAAGTCTGACACGCGGAGGACCATGCCTCGTATCGCAGAATGGCAACCCTTACCATGTCAGAGGAGTGGTGTCACACAAATCGCAACCAGTGATTCTGGAATCTCCTCCAGCCTCGCACACTTCGAACACTTGTGTCTCAACGTCGAGTACTTGCAATAGATCAGGCGATCATTTCGAGAGGTGGGTCCCGCTGATCTGGCGGCCGCCTATTTCCTTACAGTTCCAATCAACTCCTAAATCATGAGACATCCAAAAACCGAGTACCCGTTGTATTGTACCCTCGAGGTATTCTACTGTCCTCGATTGACTTCTGGAAAAATTCAGCTTAATGTAAGTTAACTAACTTTTATAATAGCTGGAAGAATGGAACCTCCCTATCAGAGAAGTGGGGAATGGAGAAATCTGTCACAAATGATGGAATAAATAATTGTTTGAAATCGATGAAAATAGTTACAAGACGCTTGAACTTTTTACTAGCGCGGTGTCTTTTAGGTTTACGCTCTTAGAATTAATACCGTTTGCTAAGTCTTGACATTGATCAGAATGTGAACAAACACGCATCAATTGGTCACCAGGATTATTGAATGCCATCGTTGTGGCCTATTAACAAAATCCGCTAGCGACACAGAACCAACAGAATCAAGTTACAAACTAATGGTGCCAACTTCGAAAAAACGACAAGACCCTGGAGGTGACGAATTGAAATCTAGACCACCTTCAAGGCGCTTCAATGGCGGCAGTAAAAGCCCATCTAACTGCCGGACTTGAATGGGGGCTACCTGCATGGAAGGTACAACACTGCAACTATCGAGGTGTGTGGTGGTGACTCACACACACACACCAGTACCCTCTGTTCAAATCCTCACCCTCTACACCTCACCCACAATTCTCAGTTCGTCTTGTTCGGTGTTACAGTGCTCTTGTTCAACGAACTCTGGCTCCTCCTGCACAGCAAGAGCCTCCTCTTTCATCTCAGTTCTGTTCTGCTCCGTTCTGTTCTGCGATGGAACAGTATGTTGTTGTGTTGTGTGGGTTTTGTTTAAGCCCAACCATTCCTCCCTCTTTCTCCACTTGTGCAGGCAGACTGTGTCTGAGGGTGGATCAGCGTGCCTGGCTCTCTTCTGCATGGCTCACTGACTGACTGCTCTCCTGCGTGCCTGCGCAGGCTTCGATGGAACCTGAGCGACGTGATCTCGCAGCGTGATCTTGGACGTGAAGGCTTCAAGTGAGGTGGTCTGCAGCTCCACAGGCAGCCGCCCTGCCTCCACTTCCATGCTCCCCTATACTTCTCCCCCAAGTACAGACCCCATATTCTATTAATCTAGACCTTGTCTATGTAGATTATTGTTGCCGAAACCTGCCAAATCTACAGCACAGTGAGACTGTGAAAGGAAGAATTTTACAGGATTTTATGTGTAAACTGAACAAAAACGCATTTGATAAGGAATTTCTATTCAGTTACAACGATGATGTTTTTCTTATAAGAATATGTTCCTTTTCTGTGGGCGTTTATTTCTTTTTATTTATTTTTCTTAGAAACTCTAATTTTGTGTTAGATTTTTTGAAAGAGGTAGCAATGAATGATGTTCAAAACAAGATGTGGTTGGTGTTTTTTACACAACATGAAATTTGACCACGTTAACAGTTGAAGAATCTTTTATGGAAAGGAATTTGGTGGTCCTCAAACTATATATATATATATATATATATGTATTATAATGCATGATTCTAAATATATGTATAAAAAATTGTGATAAAAATATTTATATTGCTTCAAAAAAATTTAAAATTCAAGATACTTTTGAAAATATTGTATTACATCCAAACTTTTGTAAGACAAAATTTGAGACAGAATTTCAAGATTTAAAATACAATTATAAATATATATATAAAAAAATTAATATATAAGTATTATCAATAAGAATTTTTTTATTTTATAACAATCACAAAACTTAATTAAATAATTAAATAGTAAGATGAATTTTAAAATAATAATGAGACTTAGTCATGGCTAGTCACATATTATTAAAAATATATTAATACTGTTTTATTTCATAATTAGTAATATTTAATTTAAGATATTAAATAGATTTATTTATTAATTAACTTATAAAACCACAACAAAAGTTGCTGCAAATATTTTATTTAGTTTTGAAGTATGTAAAAGAAAACCAATATTGACAAAATATTTAGAATGCTGTAAGAGTGTAAGAGTTAGAAGAAAATTCAAAACTGACATAGATATATTAAAAAAAATATATTATAATTATTATTAAGTAGTAATTATTATTAGTTATACTTTTTTTTTTTTGGTGATGCACGAAATGATTCACAATTTAGAAATAGTTTAGGTTACAGATGTCTCTTTTCAACATTATTTGTGGTTAGTTTTAATCTTTCATCAACCATGCAAGTTTGTTTGATTAATTTGAATTAAGATTTGATTCTCATTTGATAGAGAAGAAACAACAAAGTGAACGCAAACCACATTAATATTGGAAAATATTAATATGAAATAGTAGTATTTAGAATTTTAAAGGTTTCAATTCCAACTATGCAAATTCAAAATTAACACAGTTGTTGCAACTTCTACAAAATAAGTTGCACTATTATTTACACATTTTTTCTAAGCTATTTTTATCTTCTAGAAGTTGTATGCTGGCTTCTTTACTTTCTAAGAATGAAAAAGAAGTGCATATATTACAATACTTAGCAACAACCATCTAAAAATACAAGTTTGTGTTCTTAAATACTAAGGTAAAATTACTACAGTACCACCTTCATTTCTATGTGTTGAAATTTCTTTAACAGCATTGCTACTAACGATAAAAAGTTATGCTAACTATTCATCAGTTAACAAATTATTTTCCGTTGAATTTATAAAAAGATTAAAGTTGAGAACTAATGAAACTAAGTACTAGAACTTCTGAGAAAATTGAACCTTCATTAAATAAAAATTATTTTCATGGTACAACTTTTTAAAGTTTATTAAGTTTCGGTCAATAAATTATTTTATATTTCAATGAAACCTATTAATATATTATATTTTGAATAATTTTAATTATGTAAAAATTTAAGTCTCTAGAATAAAAATAAAATAAAATAAAATAAACCTTTTATAGATTTTATCAAATACAACTTTGGAACAAATATGGGGCAACACAATACTTCCATTGCTACCAAAATAGTTATTTATTTATTAATTGATAGAAACAAGATATAAATAGGAAAATAAAAATAAAAATCATTCTCTATGGAATGTAAAGCTCAGTTATAAGAATAAGTGAAACATACAATACATAAAAATCTATCTTCTATCCTATTACTATAAAATATAAAAACTATAAATAAAATATTAGAAAACTTAATAAATTTTATGAAATATTCAATATCATAAAATATCATAAAATCAATAATTAGAACAATAAGGAATTAAAAGACAAGATAGAAGATACTAAATTATATATATATATATATATATATATATATATGTACAATGAATTTTGATTTAAATCACTTACATATTTTTGAACATGAATGTGACTATAATTATATTTTGTAGGCACTATTTTGGATACATTTTATCAATACATAATAATATAGTCTTTTGTTTTAAATTAATCAATGTGCAATCGTGTTTAGTATTTTTTTTTTTAAAGATTGGCTAACCACCTTCAAAATGATATTAAATTTAAAGACAGAAATTATTATCATTTTCTCCTCTTTTTTTTTTCCAAAAAATTGTAGATATATGCATTGGTGCAGCAAAGATTTTATAAACACTACTTAAGATTATAATAAGCCAAACTACATAAAACCATATTATTGTAAATAAAGAAAGTTAGTAACAATTAAAAAATTATAAAGAATAAAATATTCTTTGACTAAGTATTGTAGATGTTTATATTCTTGAGTTTTAAAAATACAATATATTTTAGGTTTACTTCTCATTTGTCTTCTATTATAATGAATATCTTTAAAATCCAATTGAAACAAATATAATAGTTTTAGCAAAAACCTCAAACCTTAGGATTTAAGTTTAAAATTTATGTAATGGATACAAATTGTATAGTATTTGGTATTTGTAAATATTTTAATTAAAGTGTCTTATGCTCATTTAATTAAAAATATAAAAATAAACATAAAACCTACCCATAGATATTAATGATTACTTTTTTTTTTTTTTTTTTTTTTTTTTTTTTATGTATAACAGATATTTGCATGATTTTACAAATTAAAGATACAGAAAATAACACATAAATAGTTTTAGAGTAGTCATTGTATTTTTTGATCTTTATATTGCTAAATATAAAGTTTGTTCAATTGTAATTTGTATAAGATACTTCTATCAAAATATCTATAAGAGATACTATAAAATATAAGAGGTATATACCAATATGTCTACAAGAGGTATAAATTGCTGGGTAGATACCTCTCCATTCATATATCATGCACTCCTACACACACTTAGTAATTTTTATATTTATACTAAAATATTTTAGAATAAATATAAAATAAATTATATATATGTATAATTATATTAATTTATTTATAAATCGTTTTTAAATTTAATCAAAAAATGAAAAAAAAAACAAAACAAAACAAAACAAAACAAAACAAAAAACAAAATACTATAAGCCAATGTATACAAATCTTCTATTGTAAATTCATTCTAAAAACTTTTGGTATGAAGAAGAGCTTTATTGTGTATATGTGGGAGTGTATGGCATAAGAAGATGTATACACAATTAAAAAAGAGGGTGTCCATGTACTAAAAAAGAAATGCCCACATAGTGGTTTCCTTTAATAGTGATGACTTTGTAAAACCTTGTATAATTAGGTGCTAATAAAGAAGATTCTAATGGAATTTTTTAATATTTGAATACATGTTATATTTTAT